AATCAATCGTCTGTCAGTGCTCCAGCCCCATGCATGAACATTCTGATGGGGGCAATTCTCTGCTCCCTCTGCCTGGCCTTCCTGGCCAGTACATTGAGGCCCTGGGCACACACTCGTTGACCTGTCCTCCCTGCAGGCCCCACAGCCATAGAGGTCCAGTTCTTACACAGATTGCTCTGTGCAACTGTTTTGAAATCTTCGATGTACAACAGGAAATGCTTTGGTTTTCTCGAGACTCTGAGAAGGGTTTTTTGTATTTTTTTAAGTGAGCATAGCATAACAAGTAGGGCGTTCACCTTGCACGCGGCTCACCCGGGTTCAATTCCTCCACCCCTCTTGGAGAGCCGCAAGCTACCGAGAGGATTCCACCCGCATGGCAAAGCCTGGCAAGCTACCCGTGACGTATTCAATATGCCAAAAAAAAACAGTAACAAGTCTCACAATGGAGACATTACTGGTGCCCACTCGAGAAAATCGTTCAACAATGGGATGACAGTGACAGTGACAGTTTTTTTTAAGTGAATCACCTGATACAGTTAGAAAGCTATCATGATCTGGTTTGATCAAGATGTTCCTCACAACCGGTCGGGATGGAAGATGAGTGCTGAAAGTAGATAGTGGACCAAACATGATAACCTCTCAGTATCTGCATTGCAAACCGTAATGCCTAAAAGTAGAGAGACAGTATGGGAAATATTGTCTGCTGTGGAGGCAGGGGGAGGGTGGATGGGGGTGTATACTGGGGAGATTGGTGGTGGGGAATGTGCACTGGTGGAGGGATGGGTGTTTGATCACGGTGTGATTGTAACCCAAACATGAAGACTTTTAACTATCTCATGGTGATTCAATAAAATTAAAAAAAGAGAGAGATGTTCCTGACTTCCTTCCCTCCACTAGCATACATCTGCCACCACCAATACCCCCTGTATCCCTCCTGCCACCCCCATAACCTGCCTCTAGAGTAGGCAGCCCTCTCCCTCTCCCTCTCCCTCCCTCTTCCCCTCTCTCTCCCTTTCTCCCTCTTCCTCCCTTTCTCTCTCCACCTTCTCTCTCACTATCCCTCTCCCTCTCTCTTTCTCCCTCTCCCTCTTTCTCCCTCTCCCTCCCTCTCTCCCTCTTTCTTTCCCTCTCTCCATCCCTCTCTCTCCTTCTCTCCCTCCCTCTCCCTCTCCTTCTCTCCCTCTGTCTATCTCCCTCTCCTTCTCTTTCTCTTTCCCTCTCCCTTCCTCTTCCTCTCTCTCTCCCTCTCTCCCTCTTTCTTTCCCTCTCTCTATCCCTCTCCCTCTCCTTCTCTCCCTCCCTCTCCCTCTCTCTCACTCCCTCCCCCCCCCACTTTTGGGCATTATGGTTTGCTATATAGATACTGAGAGGCCATCATGGAGGAAGGACTTTTATGTGTTAATTTCCCTCTGTTCTTCACTCAACTCCCCAGACAATGAAGCCACTCAACACCCCCACCCCAAGTCACTGTCCTATTCAGAACCAAAGCTCTGGACCAGGAGCTTGGCAGGACTGGGTCATGTGCTTGAAGAGCAAGAAAACCACCCAGAATGCAATATGGGCCCAGGGTGACACCCGTGTTTCTCAGCTGATGTGACTGGCACCTCTTTAGCGCCAGGCCAGGGTTTCGCTAAGGAACGGGCTCTTCTGCAAGGGCCTCCCTCCCGCCCTCTGGACTGTCCTGACCATACTGAGCTCCCCCCGCATCTGGGAGGAAAGGTGGGACTGGAGTTCTGATCACAGTGGGTGTTCAGAGTAGGACCCGAGCTGGAGGGCCAGACACAGCCCTCCAGGAGCCCAGCCCAAGGCAGGCAAGCAGCAAGGGAGCCGAGGGAAGTGAAGGTCAGGAGCAAGGCCAGGCCACAGAGAGCTACAGGCAAGGGCGCAGCCAGGCCACTCTCTGTCTGTCACCTGAGTGGGAGATGATGAGCATCCACAAGACTGGGCAGCCACCCTGGGGTGCCCCCTTGAGCAGCAGAGGCGGGGCCAGCGGAGGCGGGGCCACTGTCCTCCTCGTTTCCATGTGTCATCCAGGGAAGCAGGGAACCAGGGGACGTGTGTCCAGTGCCTGGAGTGGAGATGACAGACATGAGGCAGTAGCTGGGCCGGGCTCGGGAGTGGGGGAAGACCTGGGATGAGCAGCTGCCGCCTGCCCTGACTGTGGGAGGGGAACTGGTGTGCCAGTGCTGAGCAGAACCAGTGACAAGAGCCGCGCCCTGTGGGAAGTAGCTTGGGGAGCGAGCTTTGGAGGATTCATTGAAATTACATGCATAACCATAGCTCTGTATTGGTCTACTAACGGAGTACCTGGTTTACACCCCAAATATGCTTCTGCTCATCTTCGATGTCCTCTGACAGTCAGAGGAGAGCCTTCCAGGGTGGGTATTCTAGAACAATAGCAGAGTTGCAACAGGGCCATTTCTGGAATTTCTTCCCAGTTTTCTGGATATAAGATTACTCTGAGACTCTAAACATGAAAGGTTCAATGTCAGACACAAACACACACACACACACACACACACACACACACACACACACACACACACCCTCATTTCCCCTGGCTGTGGCTTCATCATTCGTAATTCTTGGTGACATAAAGGACAGAGTCTCTCCATATATTAAAGTACCACCAGGCATCGGGCAGACTATTAGCACCTCACTGGGATTCATTGCTGTACCAAGTAAGTAAATAAATGTTTAATAAGAGACCCTTTTACATGGAAAAATAATAGATTGCACTGAACTCTAAAGATCAACTTGAATTAGTTAGGCAAAAGCCACAGTGATTAGTCACAAGAGAAATGAATTATCAAAAAGTCCCTTTGGTTGCATAATAAACTCGTAGTGTTTGGAGATTAATTTCCTCTTAACTAGGAATGTGCTCACTGCTCTGAGAGCTCATCTCAAACTAAGCCGTTTTTGTGATGCTTCTGATTCAGGGACCCTGTGCTTCTGGCAATGCTGAATGTCAAGGTGACCTGAGAGCTAGGTGGGCTGGCGCAGGCGCAGACAGAAGCATATGCCCCTGTGACGGGCCCTGCCACCAGCGTGGGCGCAAGGACACCAGCCCACACTGAACCTGCTTTCAGGAAGATCCTGTGTGCAGGCTGTCTGGGAGCTTTATAGACTCCTCTGTAGATGCAGAAGCACAAGCCTGGCCAGTCAGAGAAGGTGTTGAGTCATGAGATTGGGGGTGGGCTCTAGGAGACATAGACTCATGAAGCACCAAGAAGCACTTCCAGGCCCCCAGCCCCCAATTCCTGGTGAGCTCCTAGTTACCTGAGTCCCACTCACCCCTGAGTTCCCGGGTTACCTCAGGTTACCTCAGTTTACCTCAGTCCTCAATCGCTGCTGAGTCCCTAGTTACCTGAGTCCTCCTCAGCCAAGTTCCCGGGTTACCTCAGGTTACCTCAGTTTACCTCAGTCCCCAGTCCCTGCTGAGTCCCTAGTTACCTGAGTTCCCACTCAGTCCCTACTTCCCACTTAACCTAGGCCTCCCCCAGCTGCCAGCAGGAGAAAAGCTTCTGAACAGAAAATGGGGCTAGTCCTCACTCAGGTGCACGCTCTTCAAATGAGACTTCAAAGCAGTACAGTGCTGATGGATAAAAAGTTTGCCAAGCCGCGATAACTTGAATTTCCATCCTGCGGTCAGTGATTTGGGCTCTGCTGCTTCCTGAGAAAGGACCGGTCTGTGCGCCTTCCCTGGACATGCTGAGCAGGCCTGGAACCCAACTCTCAACTGCCCTGACTCTGTTTCAGTTGCACACACACTCAATATTCCAAAATGTTGTTTCTTGTAACCCTGCAGTCCAGAAAATCCCGATGTCACAAGCAGACCTCAGAACTAGGACTGACTGGCCCTCAGGGCTAGGTCTGACTGGACCTCAGGACTAGGTCTGACTAAACTCCTAAAACTGGTCTGTACAGTCATGCTAATCACCTCCCACACTAACCATCTACTGCCTGTACTCTCTGTGGGAAGTCACCTGCTTCCATCTGGCCCCTCTAGAGAGGGACCACTCCTTGATTTTCCTTGCATGGTCATTCCACCACAGAACCAGTCCCTGCCACCAAAAGGTCCCAGAGTTCCCTGGACATGAGCACCAGATCTGTGGATCAGATGCCAAGGCCTCTGCCCATGAAGGGAAGCTCGGCCTGTCCTCTTCACCCCTTCTGTCCCACAGTTTCCCAGCTGCCCCTTCGAAGGGCAGTTCTTTCTCAGGGAAGAGGCCAGATTCAGGCATGGGACCTGAGCATGTAGAACATAAACCACTGGACAACTGGGCCCCACACTCACAAGCAAGCAGCTCTCCACTGGCTCTCCATCAGGCATCCCTCCTCTCAGCAGATGCCTCCTGCCCTTCCAAGTCACGTCCAGTTTTCCAGGCCCTCCAGACAGGTCTTTTTCACTCTCACAGGACAGCAGCTCTTTCATGATGTGCTGACAACACAACAGCCCTGGCCTTCGGGAGAGGAGGAAGTCACGACCCAGAGCTACCCTGCCTTGGTGGCCTTCGTCAGTTAGCCTGATGCAGAGCTGTACTCTGAGGGGATGATTCCTCTGGGCGTGTGCCATAAGGTGCCTCGGAGCACCAGTTGGCTGTGAAATCATGAGTTAACTTGGGTCCACCCCCAGGAGTGGGACTGTTCAAACTTGTGCCGAAGGCCCCAGAGGGCAACCCTGGAATTCTATCCCTCTCAGGGGCTGTGGAAAACATCTGCGCATCTCAACATCCAGGGAAATGAGTTGGTTCCTGTGCTGTAGCTGCTGTGAAGCCAAACACTGGTTGGAGGACTTGGCAACACTCCCTCATTGGGGCTGAACCAGGATCTTGAAGGTAAACCAGGGGCATTTCTGCCAGAGCCCAGGGCTGCCCCTGCACCCCAATGGCCCCCACTGCCCTCCCAGAGCCCAGAAATGCCCCTCCGTAATAATGGCCACACTGCTCTCCTGGGCTCTCCAGGAAAACAAATCTGCAGTTTCACCCCCTCCTTCCCGGGTCCTTTCCAGTCTGCAAGCATGATGACTGGGTGTCCACGCATTTGTGTGGCCTGTGCCTCCCTTATATCTTGTTATAGCACCACCGTATTACCCATCCGATGGGAACTAAAGACACAGAGAATCCCTCCCTTCCCAGCCTGTCTGAAGTCTCTTGAAGTCCTCTTTGTTTTATCTTGTTCATGCTGTTTTTTGCCCTGATCTGCCTGGCTGATTTCTCTGGCCCCGGTTCGTTCCTCTCATCGGTGCAGAGGGCGTGAGCTCCCCTATCTCTAGCAGGGAAGCGTGCCACTGTGTGTGCAGACCTCGTGCCCAGCCACTCCTCAGGAGCAGCACTGCAGCATCCTGGGACCCTTGGCTGGTGCACGGATGCCGGGCTGACCTTGGGAGGTGCCGATGGCTTGGAAGGCTCCAGCTCTTCAAGGCTGCGGCAGATGCCAGGAATAAAATAAGTAGGTCACGCAATCTTGGATCCAGCTTTGAGGAACGTCCATGCTGCTTCCCGTCTGGGCAGCCCCATTCAGCCAGGCTTCTTCCCCTTCTGCGGCTCCACAGAACCAAGTCTTTTGAGCTATTAAACTGGCACTTCTGCTTATTTGGCATTTTAATTTCTCTTTGCAATGATTTGTAGTTACAGTGTCTGAAACAACATATATCTTGTTAGACGTATTTGGTCTTAAAATATGAATCCCTGTTGGCTATTAGAAGTGCCCAGGACCCATCAGGTCACCGCACACCAAGGTTGTCTCAGCCTCAGGCTGCGCTCATATCACAGACCCTCTTAGGTTCCCCAGGACGGCAGGACGCACAGCACACCATATCCTCTGTTTCTAAAGAGAGGAAGAAGTAGCTCCCCTGGCCGGGGCCTGGTCAGTGGCTGGACCCCAAGAGAAGAACTGAGGGTGCAGCCCAAGTGGCAGGAGCCCAGTTAGCATCATCCCAGCTTCCGGGATGAGGGCTTCCTCCACGCAGACTCATCCCGTCTTCTCACACCTGCTGGTGGGAGCAACAAGTACATCAAAGCTGCCCTCTCAGCAGTACCGAGACTGGTGTTTGACCAACAACTGGTTAATAGAGCCGGGCTGACTTAACACAAAATAAACTCTCTCCTCTCTCCCCTCTCCCTCTCTTCCTCTCTTTCCCTTCCTCTCTCCCTCCCTCCCCCACCCCCTCTCTTTCTCTGTGTAAAACATGCACTCTCTCTCTCTCTCTCTCTCTCTCACACACACACACACACATGAAATTCAGAAATGTGACAGTAAAGAATAACGCATCAAATTCAAGTTAGTCTTACCTAGGGAATTCAATGATGATTCAAGACAAAAATTGTATTCATGAAATTTCCATTAACAAACCAGAAATAACCACATTGACATATCAACAGACACAGGGAAAAAAAATAGGAGATTCTTAGGGACGACATCCTCTTTCCAGAAATTATTCTGTTGACCTGCAGACAACTTCTAGGGAGTCTTGGAGTCCAATCTAATCCAATTATTGATTTGCCACGTTGTGAGCTAAGCACACTGATTGTATTTGGACCTCAAGTTCATGTGGCAGCACTACTTTGGCATTTAGTAAACGATAGATGCAGAGTTGACATAAAATACCTAAGACTCCAGAGGTCAGAGTGCTAGTACAGCTGTCAGGGCGCTGGCCTTGCACATGAATGACCTGGGTTTGATCCCTGGCACCCCATATGTCCCTGGGGCATGCCAGGAGAGAGCCCTGGGCATCACCAGGCATGCTCCCCCTATCCCCAAAATATCTAAACTCTGCCACAAAAAAAACCATCCCACAAAATTAAAACAGATAAACTATTCAACTAGATGGAAACTTTACAAAATTAACAAAAGGAAAAATCATTGACACCTATGGGTAATGGCACAATTCTTTGAAAGGACCCAGAATTTGATACCATTAGAAGCATGCCTGAGTTAAACTGCATGAGAATGATGTGTTTGTCAGAAGATATTATTAAGAAAGATTATTTAAAAGGCAAGCCACATGGGGCTGGAGCAAGAGCACGGCGGGTAGGGTGTTTGCCTTGCACGTGGCCGACCCGGGTTCAATTCCCAGCATCCCATATGGTCCTCTGAACACCGCCAGGGGTAGCTCCTGAGTGCAGAGCCAGGAGGAACCCCTGTGCATCGCCAGGTGTGACCCCAAAAGAAAAAAAAGAGCAAGCCACAGATTAGGAGCAAATAATTCTCAAAACATCCAGTCGACCAAAAGCGTGTTATCCAAACCCTGCAAAGTGGTGATGTATAAAAGGGGCTAGAACGACAATGCAAATGCTGGTGAGCTGGCCACTGAGGGCAGCGACTCTCATGGAGAGTTTTCAAGTGTCGACGGGCACGGAAAGGCCTCGGACTGAGGAGCCCCACAGAGAATGTCAGGAGACTGGCACAGAGATAGTCTTGGAGGTCCCCACCCACAGGGGCTCTGCCAGGCACCTGGGAAGGCCCTGGCCCGGGGGTCCAAGCCCAGCTGCAGCAAACACCAGCCTGTGGGACCGGTGGGCACACCTCAACGTGCCAGCTGACTGCTTCCCCTGGACATCCCTCCTGCCACGGGCGTCCAGGCCCTGCTCTGTTCTTAAGTCATTAGCTCCTAAAATTGAAATTCGAGAGATCAGAAATCTGCCTTATTATTCCGTGTTGTAAGTGTGACAACAGAAGTGTAATATTGTGTCTTGTTTCTAAACCAAGCTGAGGGGTGTGACTTGGCAAGAAGAACAAAATTTTGTGGGTGGGTTGGAGAAAGACAAAAAAATAAAGTGCAATCGCTACATATGGCGGCGGCTGTGCCAGGCCGATCCATCGCAGTCAGCTCCGGGTGTGTGTGGGGAGCGCCGCTCTCAGCGGCTGCTCCATGAATATGCAAAGCCCCAACTTGGAGCCCAAGCAGCAATAAAGAGGCCACGAGCAAGCGGAAGGCGGAGGCTCTGGTTTGCGCTTACTCTAAAAAAATGATTTGATGAGGTACGTTAATCTCCCTTCGTAGTTTGTAATTAGAATCGCACTTATACTTCCACCTTACTAAGTGTTTTTGAAAGGCTTTCAAATGTGGGTTATGAGTTTTATTACGGGCATGTTATTAAATCTGCAGCCCTGCTGCACGGGGCTCCGTGTAAATAACTTCCAGGGGATTTGGCTTCTGTCGACCTAGCATGGCATTTTGCTGCCAGTGGAGTCTCGAGGAGTTGGTGAGGAGGAGCGGGCGGGCGCCCTGCGAGGTAGCACGCCCCGTCTGCCCCGTCTGCACAAGTCTTTGTTTGGAGGCAGCAGCCGAGACCCGGGGAATCAGCGGCAGCCAGAACTCCTGGGGTGGCCACCGGTGCCCTCAGCCTCTGTCCAGCATGCCTACTGCCCCAGCCTCTCACTCCCGGTCCTCCAGGCCTTCTCTGCTCTCCCCCTGGGACCCCGCTCCTGCCCCTCCCTCCCAGATGACAGCAGGCAGATGTTCCCTCCACACGGAGGCCTGCCGCTGGCTCCTTGCCGGCCCTGCTCCTAGCACCATCCCCTCCCGGTTTCCGGGAGCACCACCCCTCCCAGCTTCCTCCTGGCCCGCGTCAATGGCTGTGTGCCTTTAAGCTGGGCTTCTACTCCTCAGCCCCTTCTGTTTGTGTCCTCCGGGTCCACCGGTGCAGCTGCCGGGCGCTTTGTGGGCTCCAGGCAGTGGACAGGCACTCACTCTCTCCTCATCCTGGTGCTGGACACAGCGATGCCCACAGCTGGCCAGGCCTCCTCCTCCCACCTCCTCTGGAAGAGCACAAGTCTCATCCAGCAACCGGGAAAGAACCCCCTGGAACTGCATCACCGGCACCTCTGGGCCCCTGAGCTATGTGTTCTGGAACATTCTGCTTCTCTGATCAGCCCCAGGCTGGCATGTCCTCCTTCCCACTGGCCACTCCTCCCTTGTCCTCTGCTGCAGAGCTTCTGCCCCTCACTGAGACTCGGGGGTCCAGATTCCAGAAGAAAGTCCTCTTCTCTCTCTGTCCCCCTCTTGCTGACCTCTTCCGGTCAGGTGTGTCCTGGGTGTGGCGAGGATGTGGGGCACAAATGCCTGAGCTCCAGCTACAGGTCAGAACCAGCGCTGGAGCCAGAGGGCAGCCCCGAAGTTCAGGTCCCCCTCAGAACCAGCGCCCGCCAGCCCACAGGTGGTGCCTCAGCCCGTTTCCACTCCCTCCTTCAGGCATCTCTGGTCCGTGTGCCCAGACTCCGAGCCTCACAGCCTGCTGACCCTCCCATCCGACCCACCTGCAACCTGTGGTCAGCGACCCCGGTCACTCTCCGGCCATTTCCTGTCTAGGAAAGGGTCTGTGTGACTCAGCCCTTTTCCTAACCCACCAAACCTGGGCAGCAAGAAGGCTGGGACGCTGTCAGCCTCATTCCTTCACCAGCTTTGTTTTCCTTCCCACTTCAGAGCTTTGCTGGCCTCTGACCCCTTTATGGCTGACTCCCGGCTGCCCGGACTCTGCCCACCTGCCCGGAGAGCACACGGAGATGCCTGAGCAGAGCCTTGTCCTGAGCAGGCCAGACTGGAACAGGGTGTCACGGGGCAGGTCAGGGTGTTTCTCTGTGGACTCGCCGCCCAGTCCCTCAAGCTCCCAGCAGGAGCGGCTAGGGGACACCTGCTGCCAGGGTCAAAGGACTCGGTTGTAGCTCTGGGCTGTTGCATGGAGCATCAAGGGTACCTGAGAGGGGGCACAAGACCCATCTCCCCTTCTCGGGAGAGTCACGGGCTCCAAGGAGACCAGTCCACGCTGCAGGCTACTCCTGGGCAGCGCCAGCTCTGAGCCAACAGCACTCTCATCACACCTGCTACACTTCTACTCCATGCCCAGGGCTGCCCACTCAGGCCTCGGGGGATGGCCTGTGTGGGCTCTCATCTATGGAGGGGAAACACCGGGCTGAGTATTGAATTCCAGCATTTCTTAAGCAAAGAAGAGCGTCAGGTGGGAACACAGCTGAAGGTAGTCTGCAGGTCCAGAGCTGAGTCTGGTGGGGGCCCCCTGGGAAGCCCCGAGGCAGAGGCCTGGGACTCTGCAACATGCAACAGAGGCACTGAGTCATGCCAACAGCAGCAGGTTCCTCTGAGC